AGCAATCTGGAATCATGCCCAAAGTTATTAAACTGCCTACATCCTTTGACCCTGTAATACCACTACTTGATCTATTTCCAAAGATGATTATGGAAACAGGAAAATAATCTATATGTTCTAAAATAAATTTTAAAAAGTGCTTTACCAACAAATTGGGAAAAAGCAAATGTTAAAAATTATTTTTTCATGTAATTGGAAAAAATATTTGAAAAAACATATTCCAGTCACAGGAAAATCAGAAACAATGGAACAAAATAACCTAGCATTCAATAAGCATGAAAACATAAGTTTAGTGTGAAAGAATTCCATTTGATAAGAACTACTAGGAAATCTGGAAAGCAGTCTGGCACAAAATAGGCTTATGCCATTTCTTACAATAAATTCAAAAGTGATATGTGACCTAAATATTAAATTTCATGCTATTTTTTAAAAATAGAAAAGAAACAGATCATACACCTTTCATAGCAAGAAGTAGGAGGTGTATTCTTAACCAAACTATGGATAGAAGCTATTTCAAAAGACAAAAGATAAAATTTGGTTCTGTGAAATTGCAAAACTTTTGCAGAAACAAAATTAATTCACCTAGAATAAGAAGAGTAACAATCAAAGAGGGGGAAAATTCTCTATCAAAATCTTGGATAAGGGTTTGCTGTCCAAGATATGCATAAAAATAACCGGGTAGATACAGATAGACATATAGATACAGATATGGATATAATCAAATGTTATTCACTAATAGACTAGTGTTCAAAGGTTATAAATAAATAGCTTTTAAAAAGAATTGCAAATCATTAACCACCACATGAAGTATGCTTGAAATCACTAATAATGAGAGAAATCCAAATCAAAACAACCCTGAGATTTTACCTCACACTCTGCAAATTGGCAAAGGTGACAAAACATGGGAATTTCGGTCAAGATTGGTAGAGCTGTGGGAAGATGTGTACACATTGTTGATGGAGCTATGAATCAATATAACCATTTTGAAAAGCAATTCGTAATTATGCAAATAAAGTGACTAAACTGTCCATATCCTTTGACCCGGAGATTTCACTCCTAAGCTTATATACCAAGGAGACCATGATAAGGAGAAATCACATACACAAAACTCATATACACAAAAATACACCAGCACTTTTGGTAATAGCAAAGAACTGGAATCAGGGTAGATGCCCATTGATTGAGGAATGGTTAAACAAATTGTGAAAATCTCAGGGTTGTTTTGATTTGGATTTCTCTTATTAGTTATTTAAAGAATCTTCATATGGTTACTCAAAAAATGATGAATACGATAAATATAAAGAATTTTGGAAAGATTTACACAATCTGATGGAAAACAAAGCAACCAATGCCAAGAAAACAATATGCACAATAACTACACCATCATAAACAGAAAGAATAACCACAATATTAGAAGATGATACTCCACTCAATTCCTTTAGTGAGATGAGGTCCATAGCACAAATTTTTAACATTTTTCAATGTATTGATTAGTTTGGCTGATTTTTTTTTCTTCTTGTTTTCTTTTTAATTTAAAATTTGTTATATGGGATGGTTTTCTGAAAGGGGAAGGAACATGAATACTGACAGAAATTTTGATCATGTAAAACATAATAAAAACACTTTTAAAAATTCCATTTAAGAATTCTGTTTGAAAATACTGTAAGTCATTCTCAACCAAGAATTTTTGACTTCTTTGATTATGGTTCCTTTTGAACATATTCAGCTACCTATTTTTAAGCAAAAACAACAAATGTTATCATTTAAACTGAGTCATATTGGGGTGGCAGTGGAGATTTTAAAGTTTTCCTTTATTGTTGCCTAGATAATTTTTGCTTTCAGAAAATAATTACATCTAATACAGATCTTTCAAGAGATTTGTAGGTCATATGACTTAGATCAGTACCTTCTACTGTGCCTAAGTAGCAGTACCTACATAGCTTTAAATGAAATTTAAAATTTAGAATTTTCAGTTACATTCAGTTGCAATTTTAGAATAGTCTGTTATAGCCTCTTAAAATTATATTCCTGTATTTTCATTTCCTTTATTTCAATTAATGGGAAAAATAGTTAGATCTAAATAAGGAACAACAGATCCACATGCTTTAATCATTTGCTAAAAGTATTTTTGATGTCTTTGAAGAGATTCTGCAACCACTTAAGAAATCCCCAAACATGTAGTCGAAAGAAGTAACCTTGCATTAAGCAGTATATGCACAATAATTATCATTTGAAAATTCAATGTTCAATTTTCATGCTGAAAGTATGAAACATTTTATTATTTTACAGAAACATTAAAATATCCATATTACTATTAATTAGAAAAGGTACTTTAAATGCTTTCCTCTTTAAGAAGACTGGAGTGATACCAAAAGAAAATTCATCTGCTAGGTTTAATATAGAATCCAAGAGCATCTTAAATCATTTGTCACATGGTACAACTCTGGCTATGCTATTTCATGTGTAGTGCCAAAAAGTTCACTTACACAATCCATCTGTCATAAATTTAATCTGCAAAATCTGCAAAAGGCTGAAAGCTTTTTTTTATTCCTGAGAAACAAAAAAAAAACTTGCTACAATATAAATCAGAATTGACTTCTTAGAATCAGATTTCAAACCCTCCTTAATTTATACTTTTTTAAAGATGAGTCAAAATTACTATTCATAGACCAATGATTAAAATATCCAAGTTTAGAAAGTGAATTTTCTTACTAAAATATTATCAAGTTAAAATTAATAGACTTTCTACCACGTAATTATCCTATGAAGTATTCTATAAATATCTGACAAACTACTTAAGTTCATAGTTAATAATAGTAGCTAATATTTGTATATAACATTTAATTACCATCTCTATGCTGATGATTCTCAAATCTACATATCCTGCCCTTTGATCTCTGCTAATCTCCAAGCTAGCATTTCCAACTGCCTTTCAGTTGAAGCCTTCCTGCTTCAAGTCTTTCCCCTTTCCAATTTATCCTCCATTCAACCACTAAAGAGATTTTCCTAAGCTGCAGGTTTGTACATGTTATACCTCCCCAAACCCTGCTCAATAAACCCCAGTAGCTTCCTATTGCCTCCAGGATCAAATACAAAATGCTCTGTTTGTCATTCAAAGCCCTTTACAACCCAACCTCTTACCTTTCCAGTCTTCTTACACACTACTCCCTGACGTGCACTTTTCAATCCAGTGACACTGGCATCCTGACTCCTCCATGAACAATCTCTTGGCTCCAGGCATTTTCTCTGGCTCTTCCTCATGTCTGGAACACTCTGACTACTGATTTCCCTGGCTTCCTTTAAGTACCAACTAAAAGACCGTCTTCTACAGGAAGTCTTCTCTAACCCCTTTTAATTCCATTGCCTTCCCTCTGTTACTATTTCCTATTTTATCCTGTATATAGCTTTCTTTGTACATATTTGTTTGCAAATTATTTCCCCCATTAGATTGTGAGCTGTTTGAGGGCAGGGACTGTCTTTTGCAACTTTTTGTATTCCCAGCACTCAGTATAGTGCCTTGCATAAAGTAGTTGTTCAGTGCTTATTGGTTGATAAATGTAGTGCTTTACAATTTTTATTTCATTTGATCCTCACAACAACTCTGGGAAGCAGGTGCTATTTTTATTCCTATTTTACAGATGAGGAAACTGAGGCAAACATGTTAAGAGACTTGGCTGGGGTCACACAGCTAGTAAGTGTCACAGGCTGTGTTTGAACTCATGTGTTCCTGACTCCAGGCCCTGTGCTCTATCTACTCCATTACCTACCCTACCTATCTAGTTAAATAGAATTTCATTTAATAAAATCAGGTTAACAGTATTTATTGTGTCTACTATGTGCCCAAGCATTGCAATTTGAACTAGAAAGGATATAAAATCAGCCTACAAATATCTAAGTGTTAGATACTATAGGGCATATAAAGAAATATAGGATAGAATTCCCAATTTCCAGAAAATGGCAAGAGAAGTATGACATAATCCCTGCCCTGGAAGAACTGCGCTTCTGTCACGACTGTATCAGAATGGATACCAAAAATAATTTTTAATGAAGAAAAGGAATTGGTCTTCGAAAGTATTTTGTGGCATTTGTCCTACTATTTGACTTCAGAACATTGAAAGTGCACTACCGAAGTTTGTGTTTGCAAACTCCAACTAGGTGCAAGTCACCTTCAAAACAGCTTTGCAAATCAAGGCTGGTTTCAGCTCTTAGAATATATTTCTGTCAACACTACATATTTAACATTATTTCATTATTGATTCCTGAAGAGCTCTCATTCCTTTGTTAGTAAAGTCAGGAGGAAGGGGTGTGGTGGTTAGAGGCTAGATTTAAAACCGAAAGCAGTTTCAGGGTGGCACAGTGGATAGAAAGACAGCCTTGGAATCAGAAGGAGCTGAGTTCAAATCCAGCCTCAGACACTTAACCAGCTATGTGACCCTGGACGAGGCATTTTACCCCAACTGCCTCCACACACACAAAAATGAATACAGTTTCATAAATAATGTCTACTATATAATGAAGGAATAATAGTACATGCAGGGAGATTTTGATTTTTCCAGAAAGTTAAATACATATTTTGTCAAGATTCTGGCCATTCTAAAGAGGCAATATTTCATACAAAACTTTCAGAGAGTAATTTCTTAATCAAGGCTGCAGATGCCTTGTTTTATAACTGAATTAACTTAGTCTAAATGAGGCGTTTGTTTTGATATATTGTTTCCCAGGGTCTAAAATAAACCATCTGCCATCTGAATTTCTGTACAATAGTCAGGGGTCCTGGCCATTAAAACTGAGAGGAGTACAAACTAAGAAGTTACGGGAGATAATTCTTGGCACTTAAAAAGAGATGAAAGAGGAACGAATCAAACTGGACCCTCCACTACATAGAGATACTGGGATTGTTGCAATCTTATGCAAAAGTTTGATTGAGGGCTTTGCTAAGGACTTCTTAAATTACCTAAATCGACCCCAATACCACATTACTGTTAGGCATTTTTCCATACCTTGAAAAAGAAAGGCTTTACTTCCATTGTGCAGCCCAGGAACCTGGAGTACTCCCACCGTGGACTCCCCCAGCTCTAAATCCGTTAAGAAGTCGATTTTCAAGGAGGGGTCTACTCCAATTCCCCAAACTGGAGGTGGGGGATGGACATTGGAGAAGGATAAGAGAGAAAGAAAAAGCACCATCAAAATAAAAGTCTCTGGGACTACAGGACAGCGATTATACTGGAAGCTAACAAAGCTAGGTAGGAGACTATCCCTTCCCAGAATCTCACCTGTGCTCACCAGTTTGGCTTAAAAATGATTTAACACCCAAGTCCTATTTACACGAAATATTTTAAAATCCTTCTATCTGTAAAGTACCCCTCTTTTCACAGGGCTGAGATAAGGGGCATGAATATCCTTTAGGTCTCAAAATAAGAGAGGGGAGCAAGCTAGCCTTTCCCTCCCCATTCCTGAGCATTTTCATGCGACAGATAGGATAGCACTGGCTTTCCAGAACCGCCTCACGTTGTCTCTGCTTCTAGTGTCTACAGAGCCTAATGCAGATTGCTTTTCCCTCAGCCCAGCCCAGACAGCACTGACCTGCTAGGAGACAGAAGATCAAACAGAATGTGGTGGTCACTAAGATTGGAGACTCCATGGTGGGGATCTTTTCAGTTCATCTTCTTCCTCTTAAAAAAAACCGTCTTAGAATAAAAATAAATAAACGTCTGCCTCTCCCTTTGTTTCTTAATATTAATTTTTTAAAATCGAGGAGGGCAGCTCCTTGAAAATAAAATGCATAAATCTGTCAGACCTTTGAAGAAATTGGACTCTCCGATGTGTACATCATTCCCACACAGAGTGGCAAAGGGTAAAAAATGAGGGAGGGGTCAGATGAGAGAGAAAGAGAGAGAGAGGAGAGAGGAGAGAGAGAGAGAGAAGAGAGAGAGAGAGAGAGAGAGAGAGAGAGAGAGATGAGAGGATGAAGAGAAAGGAAAAGAGAGGAAAGAAGGAAAGATCAGTGGTGGGAATGGAGGTTGGGAGTGTTGACGGGTGTGGGTGGCAACAAAAACTCCCTCTCCCGCTGCAGCCAAAACCTGTGATGAAGGCAGAGACGATGGGAGGAGAGCCCAGAGATGCAGGGAGAAGAGATTGCCCTTTCAGGGAGGGGCGAGCAAGGGGGAGGGTGGGGAGGAAATGGAAGGGGATGAAGAAACCGGGAAGAGCTTCCTTGTCCCTTTTCTTCCACTGCAACAGATTTCAGGAGCAACTGCAGCCTCCTCCTCCTCTTCCCTCCCACCATCCTGGAGCCATGCCACTCTCCTCCTCCAGATTAAAAAGAACTAAAACCAAGGTGCTAAGTTTATGGAACAGCCTATTCCCCACTCCCACCTCCATCCTTCCCGTCCCACCCCACTTCACATACCCCAGGAAAAGGTAGCACCCAGTTATTCAAGAATCCCTTTAGGAAATTGGAAGGTAAACTGCTCGCTAGTCATAAAGGAAAGAAAAATCCAAAAGCTGGCAGCTTTTGGCAGCTCCCAAGAAATTGAGGACTCCTGTCTGAGAGCCCAAGACAGGCCTGTAGAAGGTCAGGCTGATCTGGAAGCAGAACATGACCTTGAGGTGAGACTTGAAAAACAGAAAAAAATGATTAGTAAGGAGCAAAAGGGAGCCCTGGGGAAGCTGCAAAAATTGACAGCCTGGGTAGGGGCGCTAGAGATATTCCAAGAGAAAAAAAAGCACACTGAGTGGTGAACTTGGTGGCAGAACAGTCTGGAAGCTTCAGAACCTCTGCCAAACACTGAGTGGAGGGGAGGAAGGGGATATCTCCCTGGCTAGGAAGGAACTCTGAGCAGGCGGACCTGGAGAAAGGAGCCAGAGCACCGGCTGAATATGAGCCTCCCTGGTTAGAGACCACAGTCTTTTCTCTCTATTAACATTTTCATAGGCCTTGGATTCTATTAATACAGAACCAGTGGGAATGGATGCAAATTGCATAGGATATCTCCCCTCAGGATCCAAGACATAACATTTTCCAGAATTGCCCATGAACGTCCAGGTGATTTTTCTCTGAATCCAAAAAAAAAAAAAAAGGATCGCTTATAATACTCCATCAGAACAAACTTCAGCCGGTGTTGCACTGCTAAACTGGTAAGTAAACTGTTATCTAGCTTTATAAACAAGGCACAGTTGGATTCTTAAAGCTCCATCTTCCTCCCCCCCATAACTATAGAAACCAAAATGCCTACTGTCTTGCTAAATATTAGAAAAGGTGTCTGAGTTGTCCTCATAGCAATAGATATCACAGTGCACACTACTAATACATGCTACCATAGTAAAACAAAAAACATATTTCTACTTTGTTTTTTATGGGCTCTGGAGGGGGTGTAATTAGGGTGCGGGGAATGTTTCAGATTAGTTATTTAAGTTACTGAAATGTCAAAGTCTGAACCAAATTTTTAAATTTCAATTTATTTATCCTTTTAACAATTTATTAAGAAAATCTCCAATACCTAGAATTAATGGAATTCTTTCATTTTGTGAAGTATTTTTTCCTGACAAAAGAAAATTCACATAACCTGTTTTAAAAATGCTTCACAGGTATCCACTTGATAAATTAAATTAATAGATTATTCAAGAAGCTAAATTACCTCTGCTTTTTAAAATGCCAGAGTATCTAGGTAGTTGAATGAAATATATGTAACCTGGAGCTCAAAGCCTATTTGCATAAGACTCTTCATTAATGAAAAACACTGCTGTTAGGGATGGAATTGATGAGAACAGGAGAGAAAAGAGAGATATTGGTGTTTGCAGTGGTTCCAGATTATGTTCTGGGAGTGGTCCCTGAAGAGAGAAATGTTCTGGGAAGATACTGATATGTAGAGGAACTAGCACCTCAGACATTTCTCTATCTCAGTAATAATATACCCTACCTCCCAGCACTATTGTAAGGAAAGACATGAGATAATATTTGTAAAATGTTGTGGAAACTTCAAAACGCAATGTATAGGTTCACTATTATGCCTAGCTTTTAACATAGGACTTCAAGGAATTTCCTCTTGAGTGAGATCTGAGTGGGTCTCTCTCTGTCTATCTCTCTGTTTCTTTCTCTGTCGGTCTCTCTCTCTGTATGTCTGTCTCTGTCTCTGTCTCTCTCTTTTTCCACTATACAAATTGTCTGGTATAATCTCATCTGTATAACTTCTCTGATTTGTTTTCTTTTGGCTTGCAATGATGGGTTTATTTGCTATATGTCAGTTTCTTTCCAGAATAATCAATCTCCACCAATGAAGACAGTCTTATGTAGATGGTCTTTGAATCTTGGTTTACATATATGAACTGCAAATTAGGTTAAAAAATTCATATGATCATCTTTCTATAATCACATAGTTAATTCACTGCAAATAATGGCTGTATTTCAGGATATTTCTAAGCACTTGCCTAACATTTAAAAGTTTTGATGGTTACATCTAGAAGTAATTTCTAACTCTTGACATTCTGAATTTTCAAAAATTATCCACATATTATTTTTATTTTCCTTCTTTAAAATAATAAAATAACTTATTTTATTCCTTCAGTATTAAAACCACAGCATGTTATTCTGTTTAAAAATATGTCTTTGAATATAAAAATATTCAACATTTCTCTTCAAGATTAAAAAAAAATAAGGTGGTTAGTATTTACTATCTTCCAGTAATACAAATTTCCTAGTTTGCACAGGTCTTCCTCCCTAGAAATTAATCGTTGCTTTCTACATAAAGCCAAATTTAAGATCCCCTGTTCCAAGAATAAATGGTTCTTCTCCTACTTATGCAAATAAACTTCTAGCTATTTTTTAAAAAGATCTAACTTCTCAAATCATTTAGAATGTTCTACAAAATTAAAGACAGAGAATAGCTACCCAATCTCATTTAAAAAATATATATTTTTATTGATCTTTCGACTTTTTTTCCTTATAGCAATAAAATTATGCTTAATAACTCTGCCCCTTTGACTCCCAGAGAGCTAGCCCATATTTTACAAGACAGAAAAAGAGAGAGAAATCAGCAAAACTGCTTAATATGGGTCAAAAGTCTGAAAAATGCACAATGAACTATATGAATGGAATACCCACTACTAAAAGGGGAGGGGAGGGAAGTTCTCATATTTCTTTTTTGGAACCATGCTTGTTCTTATAACTTTGCAAATTCAATTTTGGTTTTTTGCATGTGGTTTTTCTTCCTGTTTATATTGTTGTGGTCTTTGTATTGTTTTCTTCTGTCTTCTTAATTTATTCTCTATGAGTTCATATAGATCTTTCTATGCTTCCCTGTATCCATCATATTCATCATTTTCTAGAGTACAATAATATTCCATTATATTCACCCATGAAAATTTCTTGAACAAAAATAGTTTACAATTTTTGTAAACTTTGTAAACTTATACAATTATTTGCTATCACCTACAGTGTTGTTATAAATAATCTTGTGTGTATGGAGAATTTCTCCTTACCAATGTCCTCCCTGGGGTATAAGCCCCAAGAAATTCTGGATCAAAGAGTATGGACATTTAAGCACTTTAATTGCATAATTCCAAATTATTTTCCAAAATGGTTATTATGCTCATTACAGTGTGCTATAGTGCCTATCTTACCATAACCCATCGAACATTGTCATATCTACTAATTAGCAGAGTGTGAATTAAAACCTCAGTGTTGTTTTGATTTGAATTTCTTTCATTATTAATGATTTGGAGCATTCCTTTATCTAACTCTTGATAGTTGGCAATTTTTCTTTTAAGAACTTTTTGCCCATATCCTTTGACCACTTATTTATTGATGAATAATTTTTCTATGTCAGGAAGGGAGCAAGTATTTATTAAGTGCCTACTATATACGAGACAGTGTGCTAAGCACTTTACAAGTGTTATCTCATTTGATTGTCACAACACTGGCAGGTAAGTGTCATTATTATCCCTATTTTACAGGTAAAGAAATTTAGGCAGATGCACATTAAAGTGACTGCAGAATCTAGTTGCATAGCTAGGTAAACATAATATAGGTACATATACATACATATCATATACTTGTATATATGTATGATATATACATACATAGGTTAATTCTTACATTGTTAATTATTATAATCTGTTACAATATCTGTATATACACATATGTGTATATAGAGATATATTGTTTATATATATATTGGATACCAAGCAAATTTAATACAAAGGGTTTTTTTGTCCATTTCCTTTCTTATCCTAAGTGTATTAATTTTGTTTGTGAAAAAGCTTTCAGTTTTGTTTAATCAAAGTTATCTATTTTATCTTTTATAGTTGCTGCTATCCCTTATTGTGCAAGGAATACATCTCCTATTCTCAGATGTAAAATGTATATAATCTATTTCTCTTCTAATTTTTAATGGAAATGACTTAAATATTATTATTTAATTAACATTAATATTAATTAATCACATATCCATTTAGAATGTGTTATAGAATGTGGTATAACATGTTGATCCAAGCCTAATTTCTACCAGTCTGCTTTTCAGTTTTCCCAGCAGTTTTTACTTAAATAGGACTTCTTTACTAAGTAATTTGTGTTCATGATTATTAAACACTGGACTATTTCCTTCTATTATTTCAGGTTCTCTCTTGTCTAGTCTGTTCTGCTGACCTATCATTAAAAAAACAATTCTAATGGCTGTAGCTTTGTAATGTAGTTTGAAGTCTGCAAGTGCTTTCCCTCTTTCATTCATATCTCTTTTCATTATTTACCTTGAGAGTCTAAATATTTTATTTTTCCAAATGAATTTTATTATGATTTTTAGACTTCTATAAAGTATCCCTTTGATGATTTGATTGGTAGTATTGCCTTTTTTTTGTTGTTGTTGTTAAATTGGCACGACTGAGTTATAAGTAGTGGATATTTTTCTCTTCTCAATATATTTTATGGAGCATTTTGAAGTTGAATCTATATGAGTATTTTGCCTTCTTTAGAAGATTGATTTCCAAATGTTTTATGAGTTTTGTATTTTTTTGAAATGGGATTTCCCATTTCTATTATTGACCCTTCAATATTATCATATTAAAATGCTATTCATTTTGGAAAATGTATTTTGTAGTCCTGAATAGCATCTTTGCTGATTTTTCAGAATTTTCTAAGTAACTAATATAATCAGCAAATAGGGATAGTTTTATCTCTTCTTTACCTACCTTTATTCTTTTTTCCCTCTTGTCATTGCTATTACTAGCATTTCCAGAACTTTATCAAATAAAAGTGGAGAGAGTGGGCATCTTTGTTTTACTCCTTTATTTATTGAGAAAGTTCTTAGTGTGTCCAAATTGTGTAGTAGACTTGTGGTTTTAGAGAGATACTTTTTATGATATTATGAAGTCCTCTATATGTTTTTCTACTTTGTAATGTTTTAGCATAAATGAATGTTGCACTTTGCCAGAAACTTTCTGTATCTATTGAGATAATCAGGTGGTTTGGGATTAAAATATTATTATTTTGATTGTTTTATTAATATTCAGACATCACTGAATCCCTGGCAAAGCTCCAGCTTTGTTATAATGAATGATTTCTTGGATGAATTACTGGTCTGTTTGACAAAGAAAATTGTTTAATTGAATTGATATTCATAAATAATGTTGATCAATAGTTCTCCAATGCTTATCTTTCCCTGGCTTAGGCATCAAGACTATGTATGTCTCATAAAAGGAGTCTAGAAGGGTGATTTCTTTCTCAATTTTTAAGAATAATTTTTTATAATATTGGTGCTAATTAATTCTTTAAAGTTTGATAAAATTCTTCTATGAATCCATCTGGACCAAGAGTTTTCTTTTTCTTTGCCAGTTTCATTATAGATAGGGATAGCTAAGTACCTCAGTGAAGTCAAGAAGACCTGAGTTCAAATGTGAGCTCAGACACTTGACAGCTGTATGAATCTGGCCAGGACATTTACCCTCTGTTTGCCTTCATCCACTGGAGAAGATAATGGCCAACTATTCCAGTGTCTTTGCCCAGAAAACTCCAAAAAAATGGGTTTATGAAGAATTGGACATAACCGAATGACTGAACAAGAACAACAATCTGACACAGCTAATTGTATTTCCTTTTTCTGTGATGGTATTATATAAGATGTCTATTCTGTTAGTTTAGATATTTT